GAGAATTTACATAAGAATGGTGCATATGTGAAAGAATCTACATAAGAATGGTGCATTTGTGAAAGAAAATCTACACAAGGATGGCGCATATGTGAAAGAGAATCTACATAAACATTTTGCATATGTGAAAGAGAATCTACACAAGGATGGTGCAAGTATGAAAGAATCTACACAAGAATGGTGCATTTGTGAAAGAGAATCTACACAAGAATGGCGCATATGTGAAAGAGAATCTACATAAAAATTGTGCATATGTGAAAGAGATTTTACACAAGAATGGCGCAACTGTGAAAGAATCTACACAAGAATGGTGCATTTGTGAAAGAGAATCTACACAAGGATGGAGCATATGTGAAAGAGAATCTACATAAAAATGATGCATATGTGAAAGAGAATCTACATAAGAATGGCGCATATGTGAAAGAGAATCTACATAAAAATGGCGCATATGTGAAAGAGATTCTACATAAGAATTGTGCATATGTGAAAGAGAATCTACATAATAATGGTGCATATGTGAAAGAGAATCTACATAAGAATGGTGCATATGTGAAAGGAAAACACATAAGAATGGTGCATATGTGAAAGGGAATCTACATAAGAATGATGCATATGTGAAAGAGAATCTACATTATAATGGTGCATATGTGAAAGAGAATCTACATAACAATGGTGCATATGTGAAAGAGAATCTACATACTAATGGTGCATATGTGAAAGAGAATCTACATAAGAATGGTGCATATGTGAAAGAGAATCTACATAATAATGATGCATATGTGAAAGGGAATCTACATAATAATGGTGCATATGTGAAAGGGAATCTACATAAGAATGATGCATATGTGAAAGAGAATCTACATAAGAATGATGAATATGTGAAAGAGAATCTACATAAGAATGATGCATATGTGAAAGGGAATCTACATAATAATGGTGCTTATGCGAAAGAGAATCTACATAAGAATGATGCATATGTGAAAGAGAATCTACATAATAATGATGCATATGTGAAAGGGAATCTACATAAGAATGATGCATATGTGAAAGAGAATCTACATAAGAATGGTGAATATGTGAAAGAGAATCTACATAAGAATGATGCATATGTGAAAGGGAATCTACATAATAATGGTGCATATGCGAAAGAGAATCTACATAAGAATGATGCATATGTGAAAGAGAATCTACATAATAATGATGCATATGTGAAAGGGAATCTACATAAGAATGATGCATATGTGAAAGAGAATCTACATAAGAATGGTGCATATGCGAACGAGAATCTACATAAGAATGGTGCATATGTGAAAGGGAATCTACATAATAATGGTGCATATGTGAAAGGGAATCTACATAAGAATGATGCATATGTGAAAGGGAATCTACATAATAATGGTGCATATGCGAAAGAGAATCTACATAAGAATGATGCATATGTGAAAGAGAATCTACATAATAATGGTGCATATGTGAAAGGGAATCTACATAAGAATGATGCATATGTGAAAGAGAATCTACATAATAATGATGCATATGTGAAAGGGAATCTACATAATAATGGTGCATATGTGAAAAGAGAGTCTACATAAGAATTGTGCATATGTGAAAAAGAATCTACATAAGAATGGTGCATATGTGAAAGAGAATTTACATAAGAATGGTGCATATGTAAAAGAGAATTTACATAAGAATGGTGCATATTTGAAA